ATAGTTTGAAATCAGGGGGCATGATATACCCAGCTTTTTTTTTCTCAAGATTGTTTGGGCTATTTGGGGTTTCTTGTAGTTTCACACAAATTTTAGGATTGCTTTACTTCAATAAAAAATGCCATTGGTGTATAGATAGGGATTGCATTGAATCTGTAGATTGCCTTGGTCAGTATGGCCATTTCAGCAATAATTAGCATAATTCTTCTGATCCATGAGCATGGAATAGCTTTCCACTTATTTGTGTCTTTTTCAATTTATTTTATCAATGTTTTATAGTTTTCAGAGCATCCTTTTGGGTTTTTATGAAAGCATGATTGAATAACTCATTGGCTATTAGTAACTGATTCAATTTCCAGACCTTCTCCCTTCCTTAGACTGAAAGTTCCAATCCTCTAATTACACGATTGGATCCTCTGGTGACCAGCTCCCATCTTTAGCTGTTTTCCAAAGTCAACCTCAGTAACATAAACTTGGTTGTAGTGAAAAAGGGCTTGTTATGTGTAATGTTATATGTTAGGTATACAAGAAACCCATTTCACCTTTATAGCTCTTAAGTGATTTCAGGAACTGAGAACAAGAGACAAAATATTACAACAAAATATGTTCCCATTGCTCTTATTGTTCAGGAAATTCCAAGGGTTTTAGGAGCTGTGAGCCAGGAATGTAGATGAAGACCATATACATATGAGAAATATATATTTGATCATTTGAATGTGATTTATTTCTTATAAATCACAATGCTTTTGTATTCAGCAATATAAAATATTATCTATAGATATAGATATATAATGCCCATCTAATAAACACCACCAGGGACAAACATGTAGTCCAACAAAATACTTTCATTGACTTGCTGTCATATGTGATAGTAGACAGGAGACACCTCATCAAGCACCAGGAGACACTTCATCAAAGAAAGAAAGAGCTGGTATTATTTTAGGATTTGGGGGAAGGATGGAGTTTGGATAAACTTTAATGTAGTAGTGCTTTTATTGATTTAAAGCAAAGCAGAGCTGTTTATAAAGGGGTTGTCACCAAGCTTGGGCTACAATAAGATTCAGAGTCCTGTTTCCTTGGAAACTATAAAGCAAAGAAAAAATGTGTAGTGTTGAATCTTTCCCAACCATCTCACAGGAAGCTCTGCATGGATGATAGTTCAATTTTTTTCCTTCCTTTTTAACTAGGAATGAAAATTTTATTTTTCATTTAAAATCATCTTATTTTTAAATATTTTTGATACTTTTTTATTGAAGTGTAGTTGAAATACAATATTATATTGGTTTCAATTATACAACATAGTGATTTGACAGTTACCTACATTATTAAATGCTCACCCCAACCAGTATAGTTACTGTCAACATAGAAAGATGTTACAGAACTATTGATTATATTCTCTATGCTGTATTTTCATCCCCATGAATAATTTGTATTATGATTAATATTGGTATAACTTTTTTGCCTATACATTGATGGCCTGGAGGAAATGATTAGTACACAGACAAATTTATGTATATGTTACATATAGGTAAATCTCTTCACATGTATAATCTATTTGTGTAAGAATGTGGAATACCTTTTTTAAAATTATCCTTTTATTGTCTTAGCCTGAGTTCTCCAGTAAACAGCCTGAAATAGGACTTAGTGCTGATATTTGAGCTGAAGGAACATAAAAAGTGCATAAATCATAAGTACACAGTTCAATTAATTATCACAAAGTGAACAAACCTGTGTTACTCACTCCTAGATCAAAAAGTAGGAAAGTGCTGGCACTTGGAAACACATAGCCAATGTGCTTCCTTCCAGCCACTATAGCCCCAACAGTAACCAGTATATTGACTTGTAATATGTGATTAGTTTTTCCTGGTTTTGGTGTTTTCAATAAATAGAATCATTCAATAAGTATTCTTTTGTGTTTGCCGTGTTAAAAAAGAAAAACACAGGCCCAAATGGAGTCACTTATACTTAGTCAGCAAACCAAGACTTACTTAACACCTAACCTAACTGCATTTTCAATCCTCCCCCTCCCCCACCCCCTACCACGGAAGGAATGTAACCTTTAGCCAGCCATTGCTATAGGTTCCCCACCTGGGGCAAGTTCTCTATGAATTCAGTGGGACCAAAAACGGCAAGGGCAAGAAGCTGAGGGCTCAAAGGGGGTTTTATTCTCATGGCAGTAGGTCTCAGTCTCTCATATGCTCTGGCCTCTGGTGAAGGGAGGCTAATTATAAGAGAAAAAATGAATTTTAGAGACTATGCCAGGTTTTTGCTGTCACTTATAACTGAGAATCGAGCATTGAATGTATTAAAACTGCCTCCTGAAGAGTAACTCTACAATAAAACTAGAATGTCAGTGCCATGAGGTCCTAGACCTTGGTTAGTTCACTGCTACATGCTTGGCATGTAGTAGATGCTCAACAAATATTTGTTCAGTAAAGATATTGTGGAGGTGGAGTTAATTTACAGATGTACTAGAAAAGCTCCATCTTTATCTCTGGGGATGCCTGAATGCCTGGATTTTGACTCTTGGTTGAGATAAGAGCTTTGGGATTTATGATGTGTTTAGAACCCAAGACTGCTATGGTGACCACTCCCTCCAGATTGGTTTCTTCAATACTGGTTTGTGATTCGTTTAATTGGTTTGGTAAGTCTGGCTTGATTACTTAATGAGGTATTGAGAGCTTCTAGCTTCTTGCGCAGATCTGGGCAGTTCAAGCCTGGTGGTCCATGTATCTGGTTCGGCCAATAGGGAGTGTGTGTCTACTGTGTAATGTCTCTGATAATTGCCTACATTCTCTTTCCCTTTAGATAAAAGCCTTCGGTGAGTATACTCTGTGGAATCTGGTTGGTCCTTTCAAATGTTCAAACTGGTGAAAACAAGACTGATTTGGCCAATCTAACTGGGAAGAGAGAAAAAAATATTTGCAAAGATATTGAGAAGATTTTCTTTTAGGACCAGATGTCTTTCAGATAGAAAAATAAAAAATATTTGAAATATGAAACTTCCATTTACTATGTCAATATTTGGTGAATATTTAGATTGTATGCACATAATAAATTTATAAACAAATTTGTGTCATTCACAAGATCATCCCTATTTACAAAAACAATCTAATTAAAATGATACTAAGACAATTTAACCAAGTGCTAAATAACTAAATTTTGTAATCCAGATACAGTTTTATTTAGGTAGTCTTTATCACCAAATAAAAGAAGACTCTGATCTTATGCTCAGACCTTGCCAGGATTTCATAACCAAAGCAAAAAAATATATGTATGTACTGTATATGTGAAATTTATGTGTGTATGTATATATAAAGAAATATATATATTACATATATATTATACAAACACATATATGTATGTATATATGTAATTTAGGTTTTGGGGGGACCTTGGTATGAACACAGCTTTTGTGGCTTCAGAGCTGGAGGTAAAATGGGAAAATTTTCATTTCTCTCCATCATCTTTAATCATATTTAGGAGGAAAGGAATACTAAATAGAAAAAACAATTTAAGGAAAAAGTCACTTTTCAAAGGCAGTCAATATGGGTTGAGGCCCTCTGGTGCCGTAGGTAGCTGGTAGGTAGCTGGGCTACAAAGCACAGTGTGGCCTCTGATGCCCAGACAGATGCGACTCTACTCCTGATGGTCAGCCCCACTTGGCCAAGTGGAAGGCGCTCATAAAAGAGGTGGGAGCCAGTTAGAGATAGAGACTGATTCTGGTGAAGCTGTGTTTGACATCAGAGAAAGAATAAGAACAAACTGTCCTGACCCTTTCTCTTGGAGAAAATAACACAGGTTGCTAAAATTAACAACAAAAAGATCCAGCGAGACCTACAGGGACTTTTAGAACTTCCTTTGTCCAAATGTATTTTTACTCAATGGACATGAACATTTTCAATGTCTAATATTATTGGCCCTACACAGTTCATCAAAATCACTTAAGTTCCTGGGAATAACATGGGCATAGGAAACCCAACAAATCTCAGTCAGTAAAAAAAATTTGCTGACTATAAAGAGGTTTAAAAAGGAAGTCTAATGCATTGTCAGCTTCATTTAAACCACATCTCAAATTTAAAACTTCGCTATTTTTTTTTCTTTTATTCACCAGGCAATCTAAATGAAGTGACTTTGTACATCTTTTCAATGTTTATCATACAGTAAATTCATAAATCAAACCAAGGGACATATTTTAATTAATTCAAACATTTAAATATTTGCCTTGGAATTTGTATAGTCCTGTTTCATTCTGTTACCAGGTTTTGTGTGGTGTTGAGAACAAAAACTTTTGAGCATGGATCAAAACTGTCTGGGTATTACCATATAAAGGCATTGGAGAATAGCAGAACTTAATTTAAATACAAAATAACAAATGTGCAAGTGTCTTTTATGAATTGGTTTTTATGGAATCTAAATAAGGTGGCTTAAGAAAATCAGCACTTAAAATTATTACATTTGAATTTCATCTCTCTTGCTCACCACTATATTTTCATATGCTTAAAACAGTAACTGCCCACCACAGGCATTTTATAAATATGTGTTGAATAAAGTGATAATGAATTGATATATAAACAAATACATATACATGTACATATATATTCATGTATGTGTGCAAATTAAAACTTTTAAGACAGTATGTGCCAGTCAGAGCAAGTGGTTGCTCTACCTGTATTTATACCAAGTAATTATCACAGGTCTATGAGCCAAGTGATATTATTCCTGTTTTACTGGAGAGTAATAGGAAATGTAGAGAAACTTTGTGGTTTGTCCATGGATACACAGGTAGCAATTGGGAGTGGTGGAGTTTTGGAGATGAAAACCCAGGGCTGTTTGACTTAAAAGCCCATGTTCTTTATCACCATATACTATATCACCATATCACTAAATACTATTATTTCCTGATATCTATACTTAGTCTCTTTCTACCATATCACATCTGAATGGGATGTAGACAGTACATAAACTTACTGATTCTAATTTCATTTATATTTTGGCTCTGTAGTAAATCAAATGTATTTAATGAACATTTAGTAAACATTATATATTACATGATCACATGTATGGGACTGAATACAGTTTGATTAAGATATAAGTCTGCCCTTTAGGGAAGGCAGAAAGAGAGAAAGGAGATAGGGAAGGAGGAAGATGAAGAAACACAGAAAACAGAGGCGAAATCTGATCTGATCCCGTCATGATTGTTATTCTGTGCATACTTACATTCAAATAGTGGTTTGTACACATACAAGGACCAACTGTGCTAATCAAAGGGTATTTTTTATGGGAGAAAAGAAGCAGGAAAAAGAAAGGGAAGAAAAAGCCATGCATCTCGACTTCCTCAAGGTAAAAACACCTTGCATTCCTAAAGGCAGGAAAAAAAGCCAAAAATTGGGAGAAGGATTGGCCAGGCAAGCAGAAATATGTAGCCTTCATAGAGTCCTCATCTTTACAGTATCTTTTGACTTCTACCAAATCTTATTTACTAACTTAATGTCCTTATATAAAATCCTGAATTTGAATGAAAACCTTTTGAGTGCTATTGATTCATTAAATGCATGATTTATTCATTTAACTTCTGCTATTGTTGATAAAGAACCAGGGAAACAAGTTGTTGATTTCTTGGAGGAAAATGAAAACATTCTTGTGAGTTTTAGATAGATAGATAGATAGATAGATAGATAGATAGATAGATAGATAGATAGATAGATAGATAGATAGATTAGATAGATAGATAGATATAGATAGATAGATAGATAGATAGATAGATAGATAGATAGATAGATAGATAGATAGATAGATAGATAGATAGATAGATCAGAGATGGATTCTGACGCTTTCCCAGTGGGGTTGTTGAGTGACTGTTAGGCTAAATTTTCTGGAACTTTTTCCCCTTCATCTGTTGGTGGCATCAAACCTCCTGTAAATGATGCAGGAGATGCTGTTTCTGCCACGTAAGCATGTGAGGGTAGAATCAATACAACCTGTGAAATCAATCAGAATGCCATGGGTGAGTCAACCAAACAACCTCAGGGTCTCCCTTCCCTGTCCCCACAACGTCATTATCAGAGTCTATCCTTTGTTCTCTGAATTCAGTCTCAAGATCAGTTTGGTGGGGTTTCTCTAGCACTCTTTAGACCAGACTGGATCTAGGAAAACCATTCAGTGATAGCACTTGGCATGAGAAGCTAAGAGTGATAGCTGTTGCTGGGTCTTGCAAGCAAGATGGGTAAACCAAAGTGTTATAGAAAATAAAGAGTTCTTCTTCCAAATCAGGCTGTTTCTGCCAATGGCAACAATATACCCAAACCATAATTTTCTGGCTGTGACTAAAATACTTAAAAAACATACTGACCCAGAATGGCAGGAACCATCAGGAAATTAAGGAAAATACTGGCCCTTCTTCCAACATCTCAGTGTGAAATGCAATTGGGGAGGGGGGGAAAAAACGGAAGACCCTAGGTATTATATGCCTCAAAGAACCAGAAAATTCTAAGAACTTAGTTCTCAAAGTACTAAGGAAATTATATATATGCCTTTGAACCAGGAAAGATAAAGACTTAGGCATTATATGCCTCAAAGCCATTCCTTTTCTGGATTCACACGGCGAGAAAAATGGGAGCAACATTTCCCAACTAAGTAACTCTTCTAGGAGCAGATGGGAGTATAGGCCTCGATATTATGATATGAAGGTTACTAAGGGGGTTGCCCTCTTGCTCACATGCTCAGTGAAAATAAAATGCTTCATTTAATGAAGTTACAAAATGACTGAGAATTGCCGAGAAACCCTAACTTCTAGGGTCTTATTGCAAAAGTCCACTAAGAGAGTTAGTCTCTTTTCTGTGGGGAAGGATGTGGGGGCACAGGATGTGGGATAGTATGAGAGCCCCCAAAAGAAGGGAAAGAGGTGCAAAATGGTAGAGAAGAGCACCAGGAAAATAATCTCTCCAACTATTATTTTGTGATTTGGCTCTGGGTTTGTCTGCCCCTGGGCCTTTGGGTAGGAAAACTACTGAGCAGCTCTCAGTATTTTAGTATCCACTTTTTTACCCTGGAACCCTCAAGTCTTAGAAGATATCCTTGTCCTATTCTTCCTAGTGCAATTTGGTGTCCTCCCATCTCCCAGGCCCATTGGGATATGTGATTTTCTTTCTGCTTAGCAGCCGGGAGGATCTGCTGCAGGTCTCAGGGTAAGAGAGCAGCAGGTGTACACACACTAATAGAGAAATCTGAGCCCCTCTCTTCAGTTAACCCAGGGGGATGTTGCTATAAAAGGACAATGAGTAAAATGCCCCACTCCCTCTGGGGACCGGTCCACTGTGAATTGTTCTCTGATCTGGACTAAGAGAGGAGGTCCTTTGAGGGAGTGGATGGAGAGAAACAGTTTTTTTTTTAAATCCATTGTGGCAGGCAGGATCTAAGGTGGCACCTAGTGACCTACATCCCTGTATGACTCCCTCCCCTTGAGCATGTGTGGGACCCACATATACAACGGGCAATCACTCCTGTGCGTAGATTATTTTAGTTGACTTTGAGTTTATCAGGAAGGACGTTATTCTGGATGGACTTGACCTGATCACATGAACCCTTTAAAAGAACTTTAACGCACCTGAGACTTCCTCTCCCATGATGGTGTAAAAAGAGAAGCTGTGAGTTCCACAGCTAAGAGGAAATACATTCTGCCACTGGAGCACAGATGAGGACCAAAGGCCACAGCTGTGACCGCAGCCCCAGCTAGTTCCTTGATCACAGCCTTGTAAGACCCTGTGCAGAGGAACCAGCTAAGCTGTGGCCAGACTCCTGACCCATGAAAACTGAGAGATAATGAATGTGTGTTGTTTTAAGCTGCTACATTTGTGTGATTTATGACAGAGCAATAGAAAACCAATCCAGGTATCTTCAAAGGAAGCCCAGTACTCACACCACCAGTACAGCAGATGACTTTGCATCCAAATGCAGAGAGGGTCACAGCAAGGCAGAACTCTAGCACACTAAGAATGAGCACCAGGGCATCCATACCCTAGGAGCAAATTTATAACAAGGAAATGTGAGGAAACGAGGTGACAAGTTCTGAATATTCACTGCTGATCACAATGCCAACAGAGACGAAGCACTGGCCAGAGGTCAGAAAAGCTGGCTTCGAATTGCAGCCAGACCCTTGGCCAATTCTTGGCCTGCTGGCTGTCACTCATTCTTGCTTTTTTTCCACTAATAAAATAATCATTTTCCTCTACTTTCCAGTACTATTGCAGATACAGAATCTGAAAATGTCTTAAAAGAGCGGAAAGGACCATCAAGATAATCAACAACTTCATTTTTTCAAACACTAGGAATTCTACATAGTTGACACAATCATATGATCTCATCTTAGTAACTAGAGGCAGAATAATAATAGGCCAAGGAAGTCCACATCCTAATTTCCAGAACCTGTAAGTCAAATTACCTGGCAAAGGAAAATGAAGTTTGCAAGTGGAATTAAGTCTGCACATTAGCTGACCTTGAGATGGAGGGATTATCTGGGTGGGCTCAACAATAATTTCAGAATCCTTATAAGTGGAAGCAGGAGGCAGAAGAGTCGAAGTCCAAGAGAGATTTGAAGATGCTGCACAGCATGTTTTGAAGATAGAAGCTGCACTCCATCTACAAGCCAAAGAATGTAGGTAGCCTCCAGAACCCAGAAGGGGCAAGGAAGCTGTTACTCCCTTACCATCTTCCAGAAAGGAATGGAGTCCTGCCAACACTTTGATTTTAACCTAATAAGACCCATCCCAAACTTTTGACTTCCAGATTTACAAGGTAATAAATTTCTGTTATCTTAACTCATTAAGTTCATTGTAATTTATTACAGCAACCATCAGAAACGAATGCAGTGGTGAACACCAAGGTAGTCAGTCCTGAATCCTCCTCCCCCAGAGTGGCTTTAGGACTAATCGTTAGTGAAGACATATGGTCATATTTGAGAAACATTGCGCAGTATTCTTATTCCTTAAAATTGGAATTGGGTACCTGGATTGACGCCTGGGATTCTTTGGTCTAAATATTCTCTCTTTTTGTCTCCGTTGGTAGGGATGGTACCTCTGCTTGTAAGTGGCAATAGATCAAGATCCCGGGACGTGAGTGACACAGTTTCAGCTGGGCCTTGAGAATATTTGCTTTCATCATTTCTTATCTATTTACTCATATCTTCAATATACTTAGTAGCCTCTATGTTTCAGTAATTGTTTTAGGCATAGAAGATAGAGCAGTGAACAAAACAGATAATTTCCCTAACCTCAAAGATCTTACCACCTAATAGAGGAGACCGGGAGCTGACAAGCATTATAATAAGGGGCCAGCAGTCTTCCAGGTTAGGTTTTACAGGCAATAAGGTCTCTGTCACAAATATTCTACTCTGCTGTTACAGTACAAAAGCAGCCCTAGATGGTAAAGTACCCTATATGTAAACAAGAGGGTGTGGCTATGTTCCAATAAAACTTTATTTACCAAAACAGGTGCCAGACTGGATTTCTAACAAAAAATAGCAGAATACATATGAGATTCTAGTTTGAGCCATTTGAACCTTCTGTCTTTCTAGATGAAGTATTGCTGATCGTTGGCCATTTCATACGGCTCTGCCTAATGATTCCAGATAGTGGTGTCCTCTACTCTTTCCTGCAAAGAACTCACCTTTTCTTAGTCTCTTTTTATCATTATATTTAAAAGTAAGCCCTGGGGCCTTTGTCAACCACTGCTTAAGGAGAGGCAGGAAAAATGTTCACATGACAGGATTTGTGATAGCCTCTGGGAGAAGGTGATCGAGATGGAAGCAGGACTGGCTGTATCATTCACAGGGCCTTTATAAAAAATTTTTAAAACCTTCAGACAGCAACTGCAGAGCCGCGGTCTTCTAATGACAAAGCCCTGTGTGAAGGCACAGGCCCTGTGCTCATGAAGCTATTCCGTTCCAGATTTTATCTCCATCACTGTGCCCTTCAAGTCTGTGAGTGAAGAGAACTTTGGAAACTAAAAGATTCCTCTTCAGAATGACCAATCGAACAATATTAAAAAGTAGGGAATTAGAGGCAGAGAGTTACAGGATCTAATCTTGCTTTTGCCAATGTCTCACTGTGTGACCTTGGAAAATTTTAAGTTCTCTTTCTTCTTTTGAGTAAGTTTCAAGAAATAAAATTGCATACTCTAAAAACTATTAGAAATCTCAAGGGCAGTAAATGAGTTTAGCAAAGACACTTCATGGGGTGTTTTGGTGCAAATATATACCATTCTAGATTTACCTAGGATTAGCTGGGAATGAAGAGAGAGAGATGTAATGGATCTGCAAAATAAGTTAGGAAGATGCTGAGTTTCCAAATTTAGGAGAGGAAAGGAAACAATGGGAGAAAGAAGTAAGTAGCACAGTTAAAGGCCAGAAGGTCACATGGATGGGAGACAATAGAAAATTCTGTGGTATTGAGAATGGCGAATACTTTGAATTGCATTTAATAATAATAATAATAATAATTGAATTGCATTTTCATCTAGTATGCTGTACTTCAAGAACCCTCCCTCCCTGCACTTACCTGGTGGCCCAAAACTTCAGGAAGTTTTATGGCCTACAAAATCTTGTAGAAGAGAAAATTTGAAGACTAAAGCAATTAGGGTAACACCTAGATGAGGGAAAGTGGTATAGAAAAGTAGTAAAATACTGAATATAGATGGCAAATTTGCCAGGCCTTGGATGTTGAGGCCAAAATGCTTAAACTTGCAAAAACATTCGGAGATGTTGAGAGGGATACTGGGTTACGTGTATTCACCACTTGATGGATAATCTTCAAGACAATTTTACTTTGCTATTAGAGAACCAGTTAATTCCATCAGGCTCCATCAGGGGGCCCTGGGGACATACTGAGACTAATATCTGGGCTCTAGGTTTAGATCGGAAAACAGTATACTTATCGGTGGTTTGAAATTAAACAGGAAAAATTATGCAAAATGCTTAGCATACTGTTAGAAAGTACAACATTAGGTGTTCTACAACTGTGAGCTTTCTTCTCACTTTCCCAAATCACATATAGAAGAGGAGCAGAGAGAGATGAGATGTGGGCACTATTTCTCAATCACTTTGAACTTCCCGGAGTGATTCATCAATTTGGGAATACTGATTGCTACTTTTGCCAGAGCTAAGGCTCCTGTAACTTGCTTCCACCCCAGAAACCCATGAAAAGAAGGACTCACTATTAAAATTGATGCGACCATGGGACAACTGTCCAACTGCTCATAAGAGCGACAGTGAAAGTAATAGTATGGAGATGTATCGATGCTGACTGCAGTGAGTATGATTCCAAGTGCAGAGAAGACAGAGCTGAGGATGTTTAATCCAAGGCTACCTCGGACCTAGAAAGGGATGAACATCAACTGGGTAATCCAAACACATTCGCAGATACATCTCCATCAATCACTTTATACCCTCTGCTTCTTGCCCCATGCAGTCCTTCTCTCTCTTGATTGTTGCAATAATCTCCTAAATTGTCTCTTTCTTATAAATTTCAACCCTAATCTCCAGCCCAAAGACAAAGATGATCCTCTTATTCCAAAGCCGAAATCCATCAGATGACCCCCATGGGCACATGAGATAAACTCCCATCTCCTTAGCAGGGCTTTCAATACACTTCAGCCTTAAACTGGATGGTCCTGCACGCATCCCCTACCATCCCCTGCTTCAGTTGCAGAAGCTTCTTATAACTTAAATTCCTCACCTAAGTATGAGAGGTTTGGTGTGGCTGTAGCACAGGGTAGATGTTAGTGGTTATAGCTGAAGGAGATGCTAGGGAGACAGATGGAAGGTGGATCGGGAAAAGCCCTATTGATCATACTCCATATCATTCGAGCAAAAAAACCCAAATATGGTCTCTAGACAGGAAAAACATTGTTGAGATACTGGCTATTGCCTTTTGTTGGCCTTATGAAGGACATATTGGCATGAAAGTTACGTTTTAAATTTTCTCCTTCTTCTATAGCCTTATTGTGAATTTTTTCACTGTTAAACTGAATCAAAATCCTCTCTGTATACAGTTGATATGCATATTTTAATTAGTAAGTCAATAAATCAACACCTGATGCCATTGTTATGGACTGGCTCACAAGCTACAGGCAGGGTTTAACCAATTTCATTCAACATTTCTTCTCAGGAATTCTCCATATTCTCACAAAGATTCTCTTAGCAACTATCTTCCCAAACTATTCATTGTCATGTCAGTAATTCTATTATCAGCTAACTTTTTATTACAATTTTCAAAAGACCCATTCAACTAGGTAAAACTTAACAACCTCTCCTGACTTTTTCAAAATAAACAAGATCTGTTTTCTACTCGGCAGAATACATACTTGGTTAATCTTTCTTCTTTTGGAAAAAACAAACAAATAAGCAAAAAAAGGAAATACAGCTTACCAGACCTTTTGTAGTTCTAGTTCCTGCTGCAATTGACAAGGACCCTGAAATAATAAACTAGTAAACAAGAGGGGAAATGCAGGTTAAAAACTTAAACCAAATATTTGAAGTCATGATTTACCAAAATTACCCATAAATGTGATAAATACATTAAACAGACCAAGTATATTGCCAGAAACCCAAAGGATTGTACATAATTGTCCCCTCTTCCCAGAACAACATAGAAACTCTACCAGATGGATTCACAGGAGGATTTATTAAGCCTTTCAAAAAAATGTCTAACTGCAATGGCATTTAAACTGTTTGAGGGCATTGAAATAAAATCCTCTGCCAGTCAGATGAAGTAACTCTAATAGAGTACCAAAATTTAGTTAAGATATTACAAGAGAAAAGAAACTAAAGATGATTTTCATTTAAATAACTGATGAAACTTATAAATAAAATTGTAGCAAAGAAAAATTTTTAATTTCATATTCGATGATGATTAGAATAGACTATTTTACTTGACTCCATAAATTGGATAGTTTTTTTCCACTTAGCTAAAATGCTAGAGCCAATTCAACTGGACTCCCTGCCTTACACTATCTAACCATTTGAGTTTCTGGGTTTACTTTCAATATTTGATTTCAGAAGTTTCAAAAATTGTACCTTAATACCAAAAAAGACTGATCTAATAAAACAGTTTGATACAGTTCTTCAAAAAAACTACTGGATACTGAGACAGATATGATTAAATTCACCTCTGGGAAAAATATAGCAGAGAAAGTCATCCATCATATTATATGAATGAATCATGAACATGTAGGGTATTTCTTCATATGATCAGATTTTCTAATATTGAAATATTATTATAATTTATGAAATTACTGTATTTAAGGAGAAAATTCAGATGCTAACCGCTCATATTTACAACCTTGATAAGACATTTAATAGAATTCAATACATTGAATTGAATTGAATTATTGACTTAAACATTATTAATAAAATATGAAGAGCTGCATTTTCCATAACATGCTACGATTCTTGCCTCAGTCTAAAAGTCTTAATCATGTTCAATGGGGAAACTCTAGGGCCATCTCCTTAAAGTCAAAGTCAAGATAAAGTTGTAGAGTACTATGTATTACTATTCTTAGTATATCAACCAAAATAATTATATTTAAAAAAGCATTTGAAGCAAATGGTTCAAATTACTTAAATATGAACATGTTATACTGCAAACATCTAAGAATATCAACTAAAAAGTACTATAAGCTTTAAGAAAATTCAGTAAGACGCATGGGAACAACACTGTGCACAGCTATTGTATATACAGATTATTAACAGGTGTGTGTGTTTGTGTTTGAAGATAGAATTTAATAGGAGAGATTCATTTACCATAGCAAAAAATATATGAAGTTTTTGAGAGAAAAAAACAATGTGAATGATATATATGACTAAAACTCTACAATGTTCCAAAAGTATGAAAAAGAAAACTTGAAGGAATATTCTAACATGGGTGGGGATAATTTTATAGGATTCTGATGAAGGACGTGTCACTGTACAGGAGACTAAATTGCCAAAAAAAAAAGAAACCTGTGATTGGTTCTTGGTCCTGGTTTTTGTACTGTATGGAGAGAAAAGGAGGCATTTCACAAGTGAGGTTTGGAAATAAGGTTGAAAGAATAAGTTAAGAAGCAAAACATATCCCGCCAACTAAAGCAAAGGCTTACCCAGTGGGGTACCTACGATAGTTTGGGTGATACATTAATTGACAAACACACTCCTCCTACAGTTCCCGGTAAGTTATTGAACTTGCATAGAAGGCCTACATTATGAAAACTGGTTTCCAAAGTGATCTTGAAAAGGAAATGAAAGGGGAAGCTGAAAGCTAGAGTGGTTACAAGTATGTAATATTGGAATTAAGCTGATCTTGCTTTGGCCCTGATTCCTGTACCACATCATTGTGTGATCTTGGGCAATTTCCTTAGTCTAAGTCCCAGTTTCTTCATCCATAAAACGAGGACTGTGATAAACCGTTTTTTTATAAGTTTGTGATGATTGAAATGGAGCTGCACACACAAAGCAGTTAGCGGAGTGCCCAGATCACAGTAAGGGTTTAATAGACGTTATTACTGACTTGGTTTTATGGAATATATAACACATTATATAACGGTCCAGAAATAGAACAGAATTTCTGTTCTTGAAATCTGGTACTTACTCCATAAACAGGCAAGGGGGAACAAAAAGCCAGCTCTATTAAAAAAAAAACTCTAAACTATCTCATTCTCAACTCTGTAGATAAATGGAAACCCTATAACACTTGAATGGGCTCCCTGATTCTAACATAAACCCAGTTTATAAATGTATTCCTCTCTTGTCAGTAGGTAGAACAATACTGTAGACTCTATTTACACCCTCATTGTGCAGAGAAACTCTTGCATTTTGCATTGGGGGAAATTTTTTTTCAACGTTCTTAAATTTTAATTGTAATTATAGTTATGGTTCTAAGTTATTAAACTTGTCAAACAAAATTTACCTAATAGCAGGACCCTTTGTTAAACAAAACTATTTTCTAAGGTTTGATACCTGGCTATGAATTGCCTGCATACCCGCCATGTCTCTTCTTCCTTGTCGACAAAATCCTCTTTTTGTTCAGCCTCCTCTGAGCTTCAGTGAACTCTTCCCAGCCACAGAGGGGAATTTGACCAGTCCAAGCCAACAATGGAAAATCCATTACTTTTGTCCATAGCTGGCTTGGGAATATAAGACATTAATGCATACAAAACATTTAGGAGCGCTGAGATGTATCAGCAAGTCTGATACAGTATGTCAGCCACCCTCTGTGAGGTCCTAGCACTCCTGAATTAACCAATCCAGGAGACTGGGTTCCTGTTATAAAAAATGATCAATGCTTTCAATGTATAATCTATTCTGGTTTGGGTCTTCTGTTATATGCTATACATACATATGCTTTTGTTATATATATATGCTATAATATATCCTAACTGATACAAGTTAAATATTTAATCTGCCTAGCTTTCTGTGAGTTTTATATTATTCCCATTTAAATATGATAAAATGGAGTCACAAGAAGGTTGGATAACTTTCTGAAATTGACAGAACTATAAAATAGGGTTAGGCGATGATCCAAAGCTCAGTATATTAACCGCTATATTTTATATGTTATGCTGTCTCCCACCGTATCAGAAGACATCCTACTCACCATCGCTGACCCCCAAAGTGTGTACCCCACATTTGTTGAAAAGGGTACTACATAAAATGTATGTTGTTCGTAAAATGGCAAAATGGCACTCATCATTATTATCCCCAAGCCGAGGTTCATCAGGGCAGTCACGACCTGCACGACCTGGGAATAATGAAGAGAAAAGCGGATTATCCACCACAAAGAGGGCGCCCAAGCCGTCGCCTTCCCAACCAGTAAGCCATCGTCATTCTTCATCTCTTGCAAGAGTCAGATGGTCTTCCCGATATTCTCTTACTACTTCTCTGTCATGTAAGGAACTATGGATATACTGACGTACTAAATTCTTTTTCTGGGCATATCAATCCCCATGGCCCCAGTACTTTCAAGGGAAAACCAGTGTCCCGAGACCTACCCAGAGGTGTTTTACTGACACCTATGATACTCCTCCTCCCACAACTGATATTCTCCTCTGCACATGCTCAGAGAGGAGTGATCCAGAAATTAGACAGCAATTATTCTACAGGGGGAAGTACTCTGATGGAAAAAAAGTATGCACAGGGTAAGAAAAAGAGAAGAGAAATATGACATTTTCTTGGGGTCTGAGGCAACAGACATGAGTGAGCACAGGGTTCTAAACATAGGAGATGGAGAACAGTTCACCCCCTGGCATTTAAAAAGATCCAAGTGTCATAATGACTTTGTCCCATTGGTTTAAAGTTTAAGCTAGAGAGAAACCTTTATATTCATTGCCCTTCGACGTGCATTAACCCATTTTTCTTTAAACTTTCCCTTTCTGTTAGGCTCACCCACCTGAGACTCCAGGTGGGGACATCAGAAAACCCTATAAAGACAGAAAGGCACAGAGAATAGAAGAATTTTCATTCTCTGAGGAGTCAGCTAAGAAACTTCTCTGGAGAGAGACAGTAACTGTGGGGCCATCAGCTGTCAGAAGGTCTGTTGCGGGGACTCAGCTGATGCTCACATTGCTTTTTCTTGAGCTGCTCTGCCACGCTGAAGTTGAACACAGTTACCATGGATGACCCACAGCCCAAGGACAGATCTGAAGCCACTATATTTTAAATACAACTAAATCAGAAACATGATGTGATAGAATATTGTATCATTTTTCAAGTGACAGGGCCTGAACATCAAATACGGATGCCCTGAGGGCCGGACTGTGTATTATGAGGCTGGTGAAACAAAGTATTTGGCATTAGGTCTGGTAAGTAGTGGATTTACAATGCAACTGGTCTTCCCCCAGATCCGCAACTGACTTACCCCGAGGACTTTGGGCTCCCCCTTCAAGAACTTCTCCAGCAGCCCCTTCCACAGATAGGAGTTCAAAAGAGCAGGCTGCCCCTGCTGGTACCCACCAGGGCCAGCCCCTGCTGTGGTCTCTTCCATTCCTCCCAGGGTTGTCATGGCAGCAGAAAAGGTGCTACAATAAGAAATGTAATTTAGGATGAGGTCCTGGAAATGACATCCTCTGGTCTATTTCCTTCCTTTATTACAACAGGTATTAGAACATCTTCACAAAATGTAATTATATTGCCTAGGCCAGCCAGGAAAGTGGAACAAGAAACACGTGAAGGAGAGAAAGAGCTAGAGACCGAGATGGCAGGAGGGGGAGAGAAATGTCATGTGACATCAAGACGCTAGAAAGAACTGAAGAGAGGGTAACATGGATATAACAGAGGTGAAGGTATTGGGCTCCTCAAATTAGGGAAATGTCTTCAAGTTCATATATGAAGTCTGCACTCAGATTTCACCTCTATCCCTAGTGCTGCATGATCCCTTGATTACAGCCATTTTCTCCTTGAAGGATAACTTTTGCCACAGTAATAAACCAGCCAGAATCAACTGCATTTCAACTTATTGTTAAGAATTTTATAGCCCCTTTTTCTAATCAGAGCAGAGTTACATTCTCAGAGCTGGAAACCTTCCTCAAGTTCATCTTTATTAATACAATATAGGTTCTCTTGGATTTTATCCTATTAATTCTGGACTTTATGGAATTCATGTGATTTATGATTCTAAGTCCTATCTCTGGCACCAAGAATTTAAATCTCCTGTTCCAGTAAAATGTTGGAAATCCTGACTCATCAATGCAGAGCAAGGACACGTAAAATTATTTTTCTGAGACTCGAAGCACAAGCATAATACTCTTAATGCCATTTTCTCTCTTCAACAGAGATACCCCAATCAGGTTATGTGGAAACAGGTTTAAGCCACATAAACATTCTTATCTATTCATTTGAATCCATATTCAGATGTTGCATGGCTTACATCCACAAATTTTGAGGAAAGTGAAACTTAAGACTCTGCAAAGCCACAGTCATTTGTGATTCCATTTATGCTTCACTGGGGCTCTGTAAAAGTCCAGAGTTTGGAGATGTGTGCCCCTTTTTTGGTAGCACAGGATAAATGAATGTTCTAGTATGTATGGGAAAATAATTCAGATTTCTCTGGAAAGGATTATTAACCTGTATCTATATTCGGTAGGCCAAAGGAACTACACTATTGTTATCTAGCAATAAAACTGATGGAAATCAGGAGGAAAAAAATGGGTCAATTTCAGAGACAGAGGAAAAAAGTCCAAGTGAAAATAAAAGATTAATCATTTAAAACATTAACTTTAGTAACATCTACTTCCAAAGCTACAGGAAGCAGTAAAATGAAAAATGAAAAGCACAGAATAGCAAATCACAAAATAGTAAAGTAAAAAATTTTTTAATAAGAAGACAAAAATAATATTAATAATTCATAAGGAAAACATAATGTGAACAAGATTAGAATAATTAAGATCAGGAAATAAATAAGAAGATGAAATCCAAAAGTCAAGGCTTTTTCTTCTGTCCAAGAAAATTTCCAAAAGCAATTTGGAGAAAGAAAATTGAATTCCATTTCAAAACTGGGAAACAACTAATACCCCCATAATTCAGGTGAGAGGACTGTCAAACACAATGAAGACTGCAGGGAGATATGAATTTGGGGGAAATGAAGAAAGAATATCAAAGAAATGGGACACTATGGCTGCAGATTTCAGAGTACTTATCTTTGTTAAGTCTATCAAAGGTATAAAACACACATTATTGCTTAGGTATAAAACATATTATTGCTTACAATTCTAAGCATAAATGCACCAGTTGGCTGTAACTTTCTTGGACAAGTATAGTTCTGTTAAGTAAAAGGTGGAAATAAAAGAGAAATCACATAAAAAAGCCATTTTTTGTAGAAAGTCATTTGTTTCTGAATACGTCTTATACTAGAGTTCACAAGAAAGCAAGCATTCTTTTTTTCATTAAGATATCATTGACATACACTGTTATGCAGGTTTCACAAGAAAAACAATGTGGTTATTACATTCACCCTTATTATCTAGTACCCCCCCCAACTCCATTGCAGTCACTGTCCATCAGTATAGTAAGATGCCACAGAGTGCCTATTTGTCTTCTCTGAGCTATACTGTCTTCCCCATGACCCCATACATACCATGTGCACCAATCATGATACCTCACAATCCCCTTCTCCCTCCCTTCCCACCTGCCCTCCGCCACCCCTTCCTTTTGGTAACCACTAGTCCCTTCTTGGAGTCTGTGAGTCTGCAGAAGCAAGCATTCTTGATGTTAGACTCCAAGAAATCCCACAGATTAGGATCATCTGAGTACATATCGTCATAGTCAAACATTTCCAAATGCACAAAAACCGAGATACCATGAGATTTAGTCATGAGAAACCTCAAGTGCCTCAGATATTAGAATGAAATACAGAATATATAATAAATAAAGATGAAATATTCAAATAAAAGGGGAATCACAAAAGTAAGAAAGCACAGATAAAGTGAAAAAGTGACAAGATAAATCTCAAATGTGAAGAAAGATAATGTTGACATCTTAAAAAACTTCATCAGTGTGTTAAATAGCAAGGAACAACTGGAAAGAAAATTAGTGAACTAGAATATAAATCTAAAGAAAACACCCAGAAGCCATATAGAGAGACACGGAAATGGTCATAACAGAATAGAGGCTACAAGATTAGAAGTAAAGAATAAAAAGTTCTAGAATATATATAATTAGAGTACTAGAAAGATAAAAAATGGAGGATTGGCAAAACTGACATTTGAAATAATAACTACATATTTTCCTTAACTGATGAAATACATAAATGCACAGACACAAGTCATATACACCAAGCAGTGTACTTAAAAAATTTACATTCAAACACATTATAGTAACTTTGCAAGATAGCAAAGACCAAAGATGATCTTAAAAGTAGTAAAACAGAAAAGTCAGATCACATGCAAAGTAATGTCAATTAGACTGATAACAATGAAAGCCAGAAAACCATAGGAAAGTATTTTTCAAAGGCCTGAAAGAAAACAACCACAGACCTTGAATGTAACTGTGCTTCAAGAACAAGCCTGAAATGCAGACATTTTCAGATAAATATACACCCAACAGTGCTACCAGTGTACGCATTCACTAGATAGAACTTTCAGTGATGCGCTTCAAAAATAAGGAATGTAAAGCCTACAAGGATGTTCAATGATAAAGAGGGAATGATGAGTAAAGAAACTGGAAACTGGCATGTACACATATGGCCTGTACAAAAATAAGAACAAAAATAACTAATTTAGTAGATTAAACATAAGGATAATATAAAATACTGGATCCCCAGAAAGCAAAATTTAGGTTTGGGATGATAACTGCTCTTCAAATGTCCTTGTGCAATTTGGGTGACGGGAGAAGGTAACTTTAGATTTCTAGTAAGAATGAAAAGATCAATGATTACCAATAAAGGTAAGTAGTGAATTGTGCAATTTTTTTGGTAAAAAGAAGAAAATCTTATGAGAAAATGAACTGGTAAGAAAAAGTCAATGTAACCCATCAACTAAAAAGGCAAGAAAGGAGATGGAAAAAGCAGAAAAATGAGTGAGATAGAAAGCAAAAATATGGCAAGGGGCACTCCAGAATTGCCAAGTGAGGACAGCTCAAAATCCACTCCTCTTGAGAAGCAATGATGACACTGGAAAATGGTCAAAACCAACGTTTTCAGAAACTGTAGATATTAATCAAGATCTTGCAACAATCCAAGGAGCATTTATTCAAAGAAAATGGCTGAATCTCGGGAAGCATATTGCGCTTTGTCATTTTTTTGTGGTAAAATATCCACAACATACAATTTACCACTTTAAACATTTTTTTAGTGTTCAGCAGTTTTAAATACATTCACGGATGTGAAGCCATTACCACCAACCATCTCCAAGACTTTTTCAACTTCTTCAGCTGAAACGCTGTCCCCATTAAACATTAACTCCCCATTTCCACCTCCTCCCAGCCTCTGGCAAACCACCATTCTACTTTCTCTGTCTGAGAACTTAACCACTCAAGGACCCTCATGTAAGTGGAGTCATACAGTATTTGTTCTTTGGTGATGGCTTATCTCACCAGGTTGTAGCCATGGGCCAAAATGTCTTTTAAAGGCTAATATTCCATTATATATATAAACCACATACTATTTTACCCAGTCATCTGTCCATGAACACTTAGGTTGCATCCACCTTTTAGTTGTGAATAATACTGCTGTGTACATGGGTATACAGTTATCTGTTCAAGTCCCTGCTTTCACTTTTTTAGGGTACATATTCAGAAGTGGAATTGCTGAGTCATATTACCATGTGGTAATTCTAAGATTCATTTTTTAAGGAATCACCATGCCATTTTCCACAGTGGCCATACTATTTTACTTTCCCACCAGCAGTGCATGAGTTCTTGCCAAAATTTCATCTGTCTTCTCTTTTTGACAAAAGCCATGCAGGTGAGTGTGAAGTGGTATCCCATTGTGGTTTTGTTTGAAGTTTCCCTAATGACTAATGATGCTGAGCATCTTTTCATGTGATTACTGGCCATATGTGCACCTTCTTTGGAGAAATGTCTATTCAAGTACTTGTTCACTTTTGAATCAGGTTTTTGCGGGGTTTTTGTTCTTGTTTTTGAGTTCTTTATATATTCTGGAGATCAGTCCTTCATCAGGTATGTGATTTGCAAATATTTTCTCCACTCGGTCGTTTGCCTTTTCTCTTCCTTTTAATGCACAAAAGTCTTAAATTGATGAAAAGTCAAAATTGATAAAGTACAATTTTGCTGCTGCCTGTGCTTTTGGTGTTACTTCCAAAATATCATTGCCAAATTCAATGTTATGAAGCTTTCAATCTATGTTTTCTCCTGAGAGTTCTATAATTTAGCTCTTACAATTAGGTCTTTGATCCATTTTGGATTGATATGTGGTGTGACTAAGTGTCTAGTCTAGCTTCATTTCTTTGCATATGGATATCCAGGTTTCCCAACAGTTATGAGCCTAGAAAGTACCATGCTAGGTGAAACAAGTCAGCAAAGACAAATACCACATGATCTCACTTAAATGTGTAATCTAAAAAAC